AATAAGCAATTACTTGGTTTGACTACTTCAATTAAACTATAGCAGATTACTTCTAATAATAGCAATTTTATTTTTAGCTTGCTCTTACCATTTTGAATTTGGCTGACCCTGAAAGGGGAATTTCAGTGGACTCCATATTATAGTTCACTCAAAAGAAAATAACTTTATGGAGAAAATACAATGATTTATCACATTATGTAGTGGGAAACTAATCTGTTATTGCAAGAAGTGGTTTAATATTGAACACTTTGTGCTTGAGGCACTGGATGACTGCCCGGTGATTCTCATTAGCCTTTAAAAATATGGGCCTTGAACTCAGGAAAATAGATGTGCCTCAGAGATGAATAGTTGTCATTCTTACACATGAGATGCTTGAGCAACAGCTGGGGATGGGATTTCCCAGGGAGAATATGTAGAAGTAAAGGAACCTAAATCAACTCTAAGCAGACCAAGAAAGAGGGAAAAAAAAAAGGAAAGAAAACTAGGAATCAGAAAGTCCAAGTTGTTCAAGTATAAATTGACTTACTAATTGCTTAAACCATGTAATTCCTGAGTAGTTCTTAAAGATAAGGAAGAAGAAAGAGGAAAGGTAATACATATCCTATGACCTTTATAAAAACAGACTAAGATACAGCACAAAATTAACAAACAATATCTGCAAAATGCTAATCATTTCTCATTGGAAAATTATCTTACAAAAGCAAACATTTAAATGGAAGAGTTGGCAAAATGTAGAACTTGATAAAGAAATCCAGAGAAAAATACTAGGGCAAACCTCAAGTGAATACAGGAATAACTGTGAGAACTAAAAAAGAAAGTTAAAAAAAAAAAACTTATCAAATGTCAAGCAGTGGATAAGTCCCTGCTGTACCAGGAATTGTTGGTGTTCCCAGAGTGTCTGTGTTAAATAACTGGAACCAAATGTTTTTTTTTTATTTCAACAATTGCATTTTGAAGAGAAAACTGAAAGAAAAGTAAAGCAAAATAATCAATCCTGAAACAAAATGACATACACCTTACATGAACATATGGTACTAAAACACAGAACAGGAAAAAGCATTTGATCACATTTATGCAGGCTTTTTGACAAGTAATCATTAGCAAATAAATTGTTAATATTTCTAAATGGTAAGGAGTACATATATTAGGTGCATAATGATTGTTCCTGGTTAAAATGGTTAAAAGTTTAAAAAACTTTTCTTTTAAGCAAAATGCTTTTTATTTGATGGACATCTCTCAAAGCCTCAATACATAAAACAGTTGATCTGATTGATGGGGTGGTGGGACCCAGCTCAGCGGGGCCACTGAGCCACTCAATCTTTCCTGAGCACTCCATCACCTTCCCCACCCTTGCTTTAGGTAGTCCTGAAGGGACCTCAGGAAACCCAGAGGTGTGTGCAGGATTTGAAAACAACTCAATTCAAGCAGAAAGACACCGTGAGTGTGATACGGGAAGAACTTTAATTCACTCCCAGCCTTTGCTTAGTGAGTTGATCCAACATAAATGTATCCACTTCTCAACACCAGAGGAAAAGTCAGTTTGGGACCCTGATTTCAGTTTATCTTCATCACAGGCACCATAATCACATACATTCTAGGCTCTAGTTCTATCTCTGCAGTGTTGCAGTGGCTGACCTTGGCAGAGTGGTGGGGAGGTGGCACAGAGGAGAAAGGCATTTTCTCCTATTCACTTTTCAGAGAAACTGTGGTAGGAGAAATATGAGATTTATTTATTTATTTATTTATTTTGCTTTTGATCATTTTTATTTTTTTTTAAACAATAAATTTTATTTTTATATTCCCCCATACAATTGCAAACCCCCCATTCTGACCCCAATCCCTCCCCTCCCGCCCCCTACCCCCCAAAAAGTGTCTCTGGTTCATAGTTTTTTGTTGATTTTGATTTTCACTTTCTTATAGTTATTCATTTTCCTGGTCCCTTATTTAAGTTTTCTAGATTCCTGCTATGAGTGAGACCATCCGGTATTTTTCTTTTTCTTTTTGGCTTATTTCGCTGAGCATGATCCCTTCCAGCGCCATCCATGTTGCTGCAAATTGCATGTGTTTATCTTTCTTGAATGCTGAGTAATATTCCATGATATATATGTACCACATCTTCTTGATCCAGTCATCTATTTGTGGGCATTTGGGTTGTTTCCAAAGCTTAGCTATTGTAAATAGTGCTGCTATAAACATAGGGGTGCAGGTGTTCTTTGGAATTGATGTTTCTGTGTCCTTTGGGTAAATACCTAGGAGTGGAATTGCTGGATCATATGGAAGCTCTATGTTTAGTAGGTCCAGAAATCTCCACACAGCTCTCCATAGTGGTTGGACCAGTTTGCACTCCCACCAACAGTGTAGAAGAGTTCCTTGAGAAATAGGAGATTTAAAACAGAACTTTCCCATGGTCCCAATTAATGAGTGTCACCAATCCAAAAACTATTAAAGATGAGTTATTTCATAAATTTGAACTGACCCTAAATCTTATGGTTCATATATGACAGAAGTTTGATAGAAATTCTTCTAATCAGAGACACACTGCAGTGGGGGAGAAGGCAGCAGGATCAAAACAGGAGTGAGAAGAACACATGAGACCATGGTGATAGTTCACGGGTGAACAGGTGGTGGAAATTTTATGGGGACTATAACCAAGATGAAAATGCATATTATACAAAAATGAAAAATGATGTAAAAATATATTAAATAATTAAAAATAAATAAATTTATAAAATAAAAGAAATTCTTCCTATCCTAGGTTTATATGGCATGACCAATAACATGGTATGAAGAAAATTTTCTATCAATAATAAGAAATAATTTTCCATCAACCAATTCAGGAAGACTGAGTTATCTATTTATTACTATAAAAGAAACTACAAAGTAATGATTACATAAAGAAGAAATTAATAAGTATGCAACAACAACAAAAGAAATGTAGTAAAATGGCATTAGAGAAGTATACCAGGCAGTTAAGCAATAAAAATATTCTACTTCTCCAGGTTTTATAGTGCTTGTTATTGGTCAGCTTTTAAACTTTAAAACTAGTTGTTATTTCTTTTCTCATTCTAAACCAATACTCTTTTGTGTACTGATTTTGCATTGGCATTTTGTATTCTTTTTTTTTTAAATTGAGGTGTAATCAATGACGGTTTTATTAAAGATAGTGCCAAAAATTGAAAAAGCTTCAGATTCTAAGCATGGCTCTATTCCTGACCACAACAGAGCAAATAGGGGAAACTCAAGGGAGAGAGAATAAGAATTTTATTTTAGATTATATTCATTATCGAGATCAAATCACATACGCCTCCTCAAACCAGCTGTGTCCTTTAATACCCAATGGTCACTACATGCTTTGTTGTTGTTGTTTTATTTTAACATTTATCATTTTTTAATTTTTTTTAGACAATATTTGCTTCCTCCCATCCCCTCAGATTGAGTCCTCATAGAATTTCCTTCCCCAAGACACCCATGCAACAGCACCACAGTGCCCTGTGCTCCTCCCTCCCTCTGATCCCTCTCCCTCCTCCTCCCCTGCAGGATGTCTCTGGTTTATAATTGTCTGTTTTTGCTTTGTTGTGTTTGTACTGTTGTTATTATTTTTTTACACTGATGTCTTATTTGGTTCCCCTATATTTCTGTTATAAGTGAAACCATCTGATATTTTTCTTTTTCCTTCTCGCTTATTTCACTGAGCATAATTCCTTCTAGCTCCATCCACATTGCTGTGAATGGCATGAGTTTATCTTTTTTGATTGCTGAATAATATATTCCATTATGTACATGTACCACATCTTCTTAATCCAGTCATCTATTTTTGGGCATTTGGATTGTTTCCAGGTTTTACCTATTGTAAGTGGTGCTGCAATAAACATAGATGTACACGTGTTCTTTTGAATCACTGTTTTTGGATCACTACATACTTTGAAGAAGAAAATTACTGGTACAACAGAGATCCACCTTGCCTCAGCTGGAGTTCTACTATGGCCATAAATCTTAAGTCACTCGGATAGGTCTGGAAGACATTTATTTGTGTGAAGAACAGAGGAACCTTCTGGGAAAGAACTCTCTAGGGGAGCAGGAGTCTCATGTGGAGGCCTGCCCCTGTTGTAAGTCATTGTCATTAAAGAGTATTGTCACTGTTGTTGCATGGACAACATATCTACACATGACCACTCACTTAAGACTCATGTGAATTCTTTACAGAGAAAATCTATCTCTGAGAAAGCAGCTTCCCCGAAAGCCTTCATATAACAATAAGTGAATGAGACCCTTTCTGAGCAGTGTAGAGGGAAGAGCCAGGGCAACTTTAGTATCTCGAGAGATCCACTGCTTTCCAGTGTTCTGGCACGAGACACTTACACCAGCAGGTGTTCAATAAAGAGAGGCCTAATGGACACAGCAAACTGTCCATGAGTACATATGTGTGGAGACTTCCAGAAATACTAGGCAGACACACTGAAGAAAACTAAGGAGATCCTGGCTTAGATGGTGTGGACATGAACTAGCACAATTTGGTTTATTACTAAGAATCTGGTCCAACTTCATATAAGTGAAGCATGGGGAAACTAGGGTTATGTTTAATAATGGGATGAGGAGTTAGGGTTCTTGGGTAACATAGTCAAGAAGACATGAGTGTTACCTGCCACAGACTTGCTGTGTGACTTTGCATCTCTTTCTCCTCGTGTGTGGAATTGTGGTGCTAGTGTCAGAAGGGTGATCTCTAAGGTGACAGCTAACTCTACAATTCTAGAGTTCCAAATGAAAATCTTTGTGGGTAGCATCAAGCAAGAGATTTTTTTTTTTAAGAAAAAAGTACATATTAAAGAAAGTCAGAGAAAAAGTGCTCCTTGCATAGTTTCCTCCTAGAAAATCTTGGTAGTTCAATAATGAGCAAGTGTCACTTAGGGAGTTGAATTATATTACACACACATGCACACACACACACACACAAGATATCTATCAATATAATAAGGACCTGATTTGCTTTCATCAGGGCTTACCATTTATTGCAGCATGTGGAAATTTGGGAAAGCATTGGTCTGTGACCAGTGGAAGATCAGATCCGTGAAGCAATGGTCCTGCAAATGTAGTAAAATAAACTTAGGTGACTTAAACTGCTGTTTCTGAGATAAGTCAACCCTGATTTGTAGTTTATCAATTATGGTGAGAGACAGAAAGAATTCATATTGAATTATGGATATTAATATGATCACAAAGAGCTGAGCCTGGATGCTTTTTGCATGCTATAGAAAGATGACTTATAATGGGGGCTTATTCCATAGTTACTTTCTGAGCAATACGGGATCTTCATTTGAATAAACTGGGCAATAGCTCCAAAGTATCACCTTACCTGAAATGTATAAAACAGAGGGCCAGAGAGAATTCAGCCTTGTGTTTGACTATTGATGTAGCCAGAGGAGCTGGCTTCTCTTTATTCTGTCAGAAAGAGTTCATACAAATTGTTTCATTCATGCAAATACCTGGGCTCTCACAGGCCTAGAGAAAGTGACTTTTGGAATCATGGTAAGAGCTGAAAAGCATCTCTCAATTTCTAGATGAACAAACTAAAGCCCAGAGAAACAAGGGACTTCTCTGGTGCTGCATGTCTCCAAAGCACAAACACAACTGAAATCTGGAACTGTCGAGGAGTTGAAATTCAAAGAAAATGCTTCTGCCAGAACGACTGAGCAGAGCAGTGGGGGAAGGTAGCTGTAAGCTCTGTGACCAGAAATGCTGTTAGTGGCGGCCTAGAACTGTGCTGTGTGTCACCTGTCCAACCATATAGGGTAGCCTGGCTTAGTCTCCTTGGTCTCTACCCAAAACCATTTACTTCAAACTCTATGACGGGCAGTCCCAGGAGAAGGAAGGGTGGAGGTACTGGAATAGCCTCTGTCCTGTCCACTGTCTTTTCCTCTGCTAGCAATGCATTTTCTTAAAGCTGCTTACAAAGTGGAGTTGATGATTTTCCCAGATGCCCTGCAATTAGACAAGGCTATGGACACTCTAAAAAGTCAAATGAACTTTAATAGGCATTGGAAAGGTTAGAAATGACAATAAACAGGGTCTTCCCTGGTGGTGCAGTGGTTGAGCGCTGGGCTGCGAAGCTGCCCACAGCCTCTGCAGCGCCAGTTCGATCCCCGGCCACCAGCAAGGGTCCCACATGGCGCGCAGACCTCTCCTGCCGTGCCCACTGCTCCCCTCAGCAGTGTACTACTGCTACGTACATAGTTATTTAGCAGCTATATATCTAAATAATTTTATTTCTTCTCCCCAGCAACTTGGCCCACCATCCATGAGCTGCTGCTTCCTCCCCTGGCCTTGCTACCCAGCCATCTTCTTTAACAGTAAACCTTAGGGTGGACACAAGAGAGTTGAGACACAGAAAGCCTGGCCTTCTCACAGAGGGATAGCCAAAAGATTAGGATCTAGTCTAGAAATTTCTGTTTGTTCAGCTTTTTTTTTTCTGTCATCCTTTTTGTCCCTTTGTCATTTTATAGTCTAGAAAAATCCTTTCGTTCTTTTCTTTTGCCCGCTAGTTCCCTATAGTTGTATCCATCATGCTATCCACCCTCTTTAACAAGCCCCATCTAAACAATCAAGTTTTATTTCAAATATCTAGGAAATAAAATTCACTCTTTCCCATGGTAGTCTGTTCTTGTTTCATGAATGCAATATTCTCTTTTAATCCCTGTCAAAGTATACATTTCCCTTAAAGTCTCCTTTTTTATTCTAAAGGACAAAATTAACAATAACAACAAAAAACCAAAGCTTAATACTTACCACTATTCTTTATACCCCTCTGTACCCTTTCTCCCACCCTCTACCCTTTTATTTATTTTTTTTTTTTTTAAAGATTTATTATTTATTTATTTATTTATTTATTTATACAAGCACTGGGTACAGCCAGAAGCGCGGGAGGGTGAGAGAATTCACCAGAGCCAGAGCGGGGAGCAGAGCAGGCAGAAGGACCGAAGTACACTGCTGAGGGGAGCAGCGGGCGGCAGGAGAGGTCTGCGCGCCATGTGGGACCCTCCTCCAGTGGCCGGGGAGCAGCTGGGGATTGAACTGGCACTGCAGAGGCTGCAGGCAGCTTCGCAACCCAGCGCTCAATCACTGCACCACCAGGGAGGCCCCCCTCTACCCTTTTAACTTTTGGTATCCTCGTTAGGAATACCAATGTGCACTAGCTCAATTATAATTTTTCTTTGTCAGTTCATTTGTTTTGTTTACTTATATTAAGCATACATATGAAATCATCTAATATTTGTATTTGTCTTTCTAACTTCACTTTGCATAATACCTTTAAATTTCTTCCATTTTGCTGCAAGTAACAAAACTTTTATCTTTCCTTATAGCTGACTAGTATTCCATTGTATATATACCACACCTTCTTTATCCAATCCTCTGTGAACACTTAGATTGCTCACACAGCCTAATTATTGTAAATAATGCTGTCACAAACATTGTGAAACATAATTTTTTGGGTTGATGTTTTCACATTTTTGGATAAATACCCAGAAATGGGGTTGCTGGATATATCGTTTTCTATTTTCAGTTTTAAAGACAGGTCCAGCCCACTTTCCAAAATGGCTGCACTAATTTATATTTCCACCAACAAGGTATGGGTTTTTCAACCTCCACATCCTCACCCACACTTGTTTTAAGGAGCACTGACTTTTCTTGAAGTTACTCTAAGATATGGCAAAGATTATATATCCCAATCCATGTCTGTGGCAGAGAAATATCATGTATTTGATAAAGATATAAAGAAAACTGCTCTGAGCTGCTCTAAGACACCTGAGCATGTTCTTCCTCCTGATGCCACAGGTCTTACACACATGCACAGGCCCCTAATTTCATCTTGAAAACCTCACATCCAAAGACCTTGCCCTCAGTTTACCTCCTATGTTCCTTTGGTGCAATGCCATCTCTAAGGAACTGATGCAGAAGATTCAGAAAAACTGAGGTTTAAACCAGTGAATCTCAAACTTGGCTGCACATTGGGATCATCTGGGAACTCTGTAAACATGCCCATGCCTGATTCCCATTCCAGACCAAATAAGTCAGCATCCCAGACTCGTACCAGAGCATATCAAAAACTGGTACAGGTCAAGGCATCCTCCAGCTTTGAGGGTTAAATCAGTGATTCTCAAATTTTGCTCAAATTCAAAACTATTTCCTTTGTATTTCGACTCTTCAGGCGCCCTCGATCCTGGTTGAGCATTTTTTAAAAAAGATTTATTTTTATTTATACAAGAGCTGGGGTACAGTCCAGAGTCACAGGAGGGTGAGAGGCTTCACCAGCGACAGAATGGGGAGCAGAACCGAAAGGACCGAAAGCACTGCTGAGGGGAGCTGCGAGCGAGACAGGAGAGGTCTGCCTCGCCATGTGGGATTTTCCCTGGCCGGCTGGGAATCGAACCAGTGCTGTAGAGGCTGTGGATAGCTTCATAGCACTGCCCTTAACCCGCTGCGCCACCGGGGAGGCCCTGGTTTAGCATTTTTTTTTTTTTTTTTTTTTAGAGGCATGTTTTATTTATTTATTTATTTATTTATTTATTTATTTGTTTGTTTGTTTTGTTTATACATGCACTGGGTACAGTCAGAAGCGCGGGAGGGTGAGAGAATTCACCAGAGCCAGAGCGGGGAGCAGAACAGGCAGAAGGACCGAAGTACACTGCTGAGGGGAGCAGCGGGCGGCAGGAGAGGTCTGCGCGCCATGTGGGACCCTCCTCCGGTGGCCGGGGAGCAGCCGGGGATCGAACCGGTGCCGCAGAGGCCGCGGGCAGCTTCGCAAGCCAGCGCTCAACCGCTGCGCCACCGGGGAGGCCCTGGTTTAGCATTTTTAAGGAGCTTTTTTTTAAAGCCCAAAGCTCGAATCTCTCCCTGTTATCAATCAGAATTTCTGGAGATAGAAACCAGGCATCAGAATTTTTTAAGAATTTTTTCAGATGCTTCCAAAGTTTAGCCAAATCTGAGAATCAATGTGTTAAATGATCACAGCGCAACTGAAACAGCAGGATCTGTGTGGGGCACTGAAAGATGGACCATCTTCCAAGTCAGGGGCAAGAAACCAGCAGAGTTTGGCTGGAGTCTCGTTGGAGGTATTAACAAATCTAAAGATAGAATGTGTCACCCAAAGGGGATGTCTACATGGAAAGAGAAAGTGGGTTGGAGAGGAAGGACTAGCCAAGGGGTGGGGGGGGTGCATGGGTGAGCTTACAGGAACATCCAGTCCTATCTCTTTGGCAGGTCCATCCCCAAAGAATAGCTAAAGGCATGAGCTTAAGAAAGTTTGACACCCGTTGACATTAAAACTCTAACATCCCCTGCTCAGGCTATATACCCAAGCTGCATTATCATTAAGAATTGTCTTCCTTTTTAGTTTCCTACTGGGAGAGAACACATTAGTCAAGGTGACACAAATGTCCAATCTGCTTAGAAGTTCTTATTTCTCATGGCAAATTAATATAGTATGGTTTTGATTCAGAGAGCAGTCTTTTGAGAGTCTGACTGATGTGAATCGGTCCCTGAGAACATGATCCACTCAAGCATGTTGATAAAATCCAGTTTCCAAGCCTGCCAATCAATTTCATGAAAGTGGCACCATCTCAAAATTCCTGAAGCTTAGCATAGAGCCTTTTTCATGGTAGTTTTCCACCAGATTGGGAGCTTTTGGAACCCAGGATCACTGTTTTATTCGTCTGTGTATCACCAACCCTCAGCTTAGTGCTGGGACATTATAGGCAAGGGTGATCATCTAAATATTTACACCCATGTCAGCAGCACTGCCCTTTCTGTAAAATGCTAGTCCTCATCCTGGAGCAAAGCCCTAGGGGCTCCTGTAGTGTCAGATGCAAATCTTGTGAGTACTTGGTCTTAGGGAATTTAGGGGTGCTGGGGAAGGGATTCATATATCTGGGGCAGAGGGGGTCACTGGGAAAGCTCAGGAGAATGTCCTTTTACCAGTGAATACAGAAATATTTTATTATTTTAAAAACTAGTAGACACAGCTATCTATACTGGTATGGAACAGTTGAGTGTACATGAACATAAGCTTCATTTGTAGGTAGTAAGTATTTGTAGATTAAGTTACTACCCCTCTCTAAAGCATCTTGCCCAGGGCTGATGACACTCCATTTTCTGCCCACCCACAGCAGATGCCAAAGACTTCCTTTCCCAGAGCATCTTGACCTCAGAGCATACAGAGAGTGACTAATGTGGTCTTAGCATTAGATCACATATCCTTGGGAGCTCGCTCAGTCTGGTGGCTGAGACTGGAGGGGCAAGAAGGGAAAGGAAAATGGTCTCCTCAGAGGATTAAGAATACAAAGCATAGGCCTACTTGAGCTTTATTTTAAAAAGAGGTTACAAAAGCCTCATATCTTTTGCAACTGTGAAATTCCCTGGGCAAAAACACTGTTCTTTGCATAGTATTCAAAAGCTGTGTTCTCATACGAAAGCAAAAAAATCCATGAGTTTAATATTTGTGGCAAGGCCGCCACAAATCTCCTGATCAGAGGAGAATAAAGCTTCTGATCCCCTTGTAAGTGGAATCTACTGTGATTTCCTGACAAAGCAACTGTCTAAGAACTGCCTCTTTAGCATTCTGTTCGAACCCTCTCCTACATTTGATATTCTGCAACAAGTGATTGCTGGGGGATGTCACTGGATGAGAACACTGAAAAAAACACTTGTTTACCATGTCATTCCTGCTTTGTCATTCTGGTGATGACTTGTCCATTTCCTTCTTTAGGGCACTTTAAAGGGACATGTGCAACCAATGAAATAGAGAGATCTAAAGAGTTCTTTGTGGTTGTGTTGTTACAGTTTAGTATGAAAATATGTCCCTTCGAAGTTCATTGTTCTGTCCAAAGCTTTGGCTTTTCAGACCTTTTCCCCAGCTCCCTTCTTGTTCCCACCCCATCACTCCCCAGTCCCAGCCTTCCTAAATTTTGGAGAACTGTCCCATATGTTATTGAGAAATCTAGTCTAGACATGTATTTAGAAAAGGTTGCTGTTCCTTCTAAAATAGTTCATACTTCCACTAATACAGAGATACTTTCACTATTCCTGGGTAGTGATTGCTAATGCTGGAGATGGCTACACAGATGGAGGACACCAATCATGTTACAGTGCAAAGATCTATTTAGAGCGACTCTGAAGATGGGATACACCGGCAAGACATTTATTTCCAAGTTACTGTTTTGGTGCCATCTTCCAGCACCTCAGAAAGCTCTCGGCTGAGATAGAAACAGAAAGAGTTTCATTATCCAAAAGGAAAAATCTATTATATCTTGTGAGCCCACAGAGACCAGCACACGAACTGGATTGCCAGTGTACTCTCGTGCCAGCTGGTTCAATGGGCAGAAGTGAGAATGTTAATAAACACGCTAATGAAAGGAAGTTGTTGGATAGTAATTAACATATGCCATTAGTATCTGTCCCTTTGGCCAGACACTGCAGACAGGCTGAAACCATACATACAAATGAGTAGGTCTGCAAGGGCTGCGTGGGGAAGAAAAGGGGACAGTGTCATTGTGAGCTGCTGGTGCTGTCAGCAGCTTTAAATCACAGGCCGCTTAGTAACAAAAACAGGGGAGGCTTTTGTTTTCTGGAAAAATCATGTGACTGAAAATTTTTTAATTTTAACATTTTTTTCATTCTGCTTACTTTTCTTTTACCTCAAAACATGCTGTTTATAATTCCTCCCCCCCCCTTTTTTTTAAGAAAACACTGACTTAGCTTTTTTCCCCTAACTCAGTGAGTGCAGAACTACATCTTAGGGCTTTTTGTTTTTAAACCACAATTTCCTAATCTCTCAGAGAAGAGAGGTGATTATATGGGTCTCAGGGATACCCTGGTGATCACAGTTCTTAAGACTTATATGATCCTTTTCTGGTTGACCTAAAGTGGCTTATATACCAGCCACTCCAAATGCTGCCTCTCACAGTGGGAAGTCAGAACTGGAAACACAGATGCAAGTCAGCTTCAATAGCCTCTTTTTACCAAGGGGAAACTGAGGTCCAAAAAGGTAAACTAATGTTCCCTAAATCACAGACCTGGTCTACTGACCATCAGTCATGCGTTTTCCATCCACAGTCCCAAAAGTGTTATCTGCTCTTTGACCATGACTCAGGATGGCCAGTCCCCTACTACTTTGGGGGGTGAGGTGGGGAAGAGCATTGAAAAGATACCAAACCACATTTGGATTCTTCCTTTGCATGTGTTAATTTGCTGAGAGTATACACATTCAGAGGAGAAACTCAACATTTCAGAAGGAACTCCATGCACTTTTGGTAGCAGTTTCTAGATGATTTCCTCATTGTTAGCATCAGTGAATAGCACTTGGAACCTAACTTACGTGATGTTGTGCTTGGAATGAAGGTATCATTCAAAGGAATACTTCCATGATTCTCATCTGTAGAGAAAAAAAACTTTTATTTTTGTGAAATTTTAGACTTAACAAAAAAGAAATAGGGGCCACCTTGGTGGTGCAGGGGTTAAAATCTCAGTGCTATCAAGCTATTGCCAGCCCCTCTGGCCTGATTTCATCCAGGGCCAGGGAGGTGACCCACAAAGCACAGGAGACATCGCCTGTCTCACCCACTGCTTCCCTCAGCAGTGTATTTCAATGGATCTACCTGTTCTGCTCTCCACTCTGTCTCTGGTGAATCCTCTCACCCCCTGCACCTTTGGCCTATACCCCAGCTCTGGTATGCTGCTATAAATAAAAACAAATCTTTAAAAAAATTAAGAAATAGTGTTGATAACAATACTATTAACTAAACTATAGACTTTTAATTGGATTTTCCCAGTTTTTCCATTAATGTCCTTTTTCTACAGGATGCCCCATTGCATTTAGTTGTCATGTCTCCTAAGAACAATATAGAGCTGAAATGCCCTTCACAATGTGTCATATCAGGGAATAAATAATATTTGTGTCTTAAGTACGGGTGATGTTAATATTGATCATGTTAGGGTGATATCTGCCAGATTTCTCTGAAATCCCTTTTCTCCTTAAATTTGTACACATTGATTTTAGCTTTCATAAGTGGTTATTGCCTGTTGCAATTATTATAGTGTTCAAATGAGTCTATGATTTTCTTCCTTCCCTCTACATTCATTAATTTGAATTCTTCTGGAAGAAAGAATTGTCCATCCTCTTCCATTCATTAATTTATAACACTATTGACTCATGGATATTTATTTTATTCTTTGCATTATAATCCAATATTATTGTTGTTTATATATGGCTCAAATTGTTCCTTCTTTGGCCATTTCTAGTTTCAACACTCTCCCCTCCTGATTTTTTAGCAGTTTCTTATTTTGTAGTACCACAACATGCTTGAGACACATTTCATATTTTCTTTGTCCCAGTCCTGGAATCAACCACTTCTCTTAGGAACTCTCAATCATTTTACTGGAAAATGGTATTTACTAACCAAGTTCTGGGTGGTATGTGAGCTTATCTACAGGGATGACTGTTTTTAGGTGACTGAACAGATAGGAAAACAAGGTATATCTATCTATCTATCTATCCATCTATCTATAATATATATGATATATATATATATGTATCAACCTATGGGTAGAGACAAGGATATTTTTACCTCTGTATTTAGCTAACTCAGTGGTTCTCAACCTGGAGCTATTCTACCCTCTCTCCACATATATTCAGCATTGTCTGCAGATACATCAGAGGAGATAGAATCTAGTGGGTAAAAGCCAGAGATGCTGTTAAAACATCCTATAGTGCACAGGACAGGCCAAACAACAAAGAATTGTCCTACTTCAAATGTCAAATGTGGGCCTCCCTGGTGGCACGGGGGTTGAGCACAGTGCTGTGAAACTGCCTGCAGCCTCTGGAGCGCGGGTTCAATCCCGGCCAGCGAGATACCCACATGGTGCAGCAGAACTCTCCTGTCTCGCCCACTGCTCCCTTCAGCAGTGTATTTCATTCAATCTGCCTGTTCTGTTCTGTTCCCCGCTCTGTCTCTGGTGAATCCTTGCACCCTCCCACACATATGGGCTGTACCCCAGTTCTTGTATACATGAATAAGTAAATCTTAAAAAAAAAAAAATGTCAAAAGTGCTGATTTGAGAAGCCCTGATCTGTTTTAATATGTATTGCAAACACATGACTTCATATATATACCTCTGAAACAATCCAGCTCCACAGTTTTCATTCTAGAATTTCTCCTTTGCTGTTTTGTAAGTTCTTTCCCAAAAGCAGAAAACCTGACTGTCATCTACAATATATTTACTGATATTTATTCAATACTGGTGTACCGATAAAGTAGTAGTTTCAAATTTGCTAACCCAAACCCCATGAGAGATAAATGTACTCACTAAAATAATGTATAGTTTTTGTGTATGATTCTTTTTGTCTTTAGCTTTACAAGATCCATTCAAAACACTATTTTCCAAAGTACCTAAGTTATCTCCTTTCTTTCTTATCACTGTAAGTGAGATCATAGCATTCATTTGCTATTAGATTCATTTGCCAGTCTGCATTAAATCTTGGACCTCTAAACATCTGGCTGATTTTTTTTCAACCTGAACAGAGTAAAACTCATTCTTTGAATTAAGATAAAATTCATATAGTTCCATGGATTTTCAGAAATGCTGAGGCATGTATCCACCATTACAGTAAGTTACAGGACAGTTACAGCACCCCTAAATTCCCTTTGTGCTGCCCTGTTGTAGTTACTCCCTCTCCCATTCACTGTTATAGTTTTTCCTTCTTGGAAATGTCATAGCTAGCTTCTTTCACTAAGCAAAAGTTATTTAAGATTTATCCATGTATGCATCAATAATTTGGTCCTTTTTATTACCAAGTGGTATCCTGTAGTATAGACATGTCACAGTTTATATATTTATCAGCTGAAGGATATCTGAACTGTCTGCAGTTTGAATAAAACTGCTAAAAAACAGCCATGTATAGATTTGTGGAGGCTTAAGTTTTCAGTTCACTAGGGTAAATATTTAGGAGTGGCTTTACTGAATTGCATAGTAAGTACATATTTCACTTTGTAAGAAACTAGCAAACTATTTCCCAAGTGGCTGTATGTTGTGAATTCCCACCAATAAAGTATGAGAATTCACCCTTATCAGCAGTTGGTGTCTTCATTCTCTTTTCTTCTTCTCTTTAACCATTCTAAAAGTATATAGTACTAAATGCTGTGATTTCATTGTGTGTGTCTCAAATGTTCATTGTTGACCATCTTTCCACATGCTAATTTGCCACCTGAATGTCTTCTTTGGTGAAGTGTCTATTCCAGCATTTTGCCTGTCCCTTCTCTTCTCATTTTAAGAAACTTGTCCCATTTTTATGGACATAAAACTCTCACTCCCCACTCCTGTTTCTGAAATGCCCTCTTATGAGGACTTCCCTCCGTCTACTCTTCCCCCATTATAATCACAGATTCTTCTGGTATTCCCCTGCCCCGAGCAAAAATGGCTTCTTCTATTTTACTTTTTTTTATATACAGATCTTAATTATACTTTCATGTTGATCTAGATCTAGTTTATAAGACTCCCTAGGGAATATGGTTTCAGTACTCAGTCTCCTAGTGACGTGATCCATTATTATTACCAAGAAGTCGTGAAAACTGAACAGACAGGATGTAGCATCCTACAGGGGTTCAGTGTTAAGTGCTGAAATTTCAGTGCAGGTGTCTGAGATACAGTTGGGTGGTATCTGTGTAAGTATGTTGGGGAAGGATGGAATGACATATTTCCACAGGATTCCTGACTTACGGAAGTATTGACCAACCTCACACTCTAGATATAAATTTCATGAATTATAATTAAAATATAACTGAAGGGAGGGGGTGGGAGAAAGCTACCATGTGCCAGAGACTTTGTATTTATTAATTCATTAATCCTCACCAATCAACAAAGTCATTTGACAGATGAGAAAACTGCAACTATGAGAATTACAGAGCTAGTAAACTACAGGGCCTGGGCTACATCCCAGGGCTATCTGATTCCACAACTTTCGTTCTTTCCACAGTACTATTTTAGTGTCTCAGGATTTGATTTACACATAATATTGGAAGTACTATTTTAAGAAGGTGGTAGTTTAGAGACTCACAGAGACTCTGAGAGGTGGGAGTCTGCTATGATGGGCTCAGGAAAGACAGGACTTATTTCTGGTTCCCACTGATATGCTTTGTATATTTGGAAAAATAACTGAATATGTTTTTGCTTTAGTTTTCCTTTATTGAACAGTTTTGATTGCACATCCCATCAGTAAAAAATTGTTTGAGCCTGCTCATGCATAAAATGTTTCTCTATGAAACTACAGACACATAAAACTCATTAACATATTAAGTATATTTTAAAAATTACAAAAATAGAAATTCCAAAAGGATGAGACAAATATAAAATAACCGTAACTCTGCTCTCACTCATATTTTTAGTTGGGGCCGTGTAATGAATTAGATTGTCCTTATTTTTTACCTCATGTGACAGATGACTAAAAGAGGTATCTGCTCTATCACATTCTTATTTATTTATGCCTGTATGTTGTCCTTAGCTTTACTCTCTGATTCCATTAGAGAAATATCTTCATGATATTTTATCAAGTTTAGATTATAAAACTTATAAAAGCAATCTGCCATACATAAATTGCAATGTGTTCAAAAACTCTAAAAATAAGTAAGTTATGATGATGCTATTAACCTCCCAAACTACAGGATTGCTTCAGGTTTTCTTCTCTGTCTTTCAGAGCACCTGATGTTCTGACATGTGAGCTGAGAGAGGAGACCAGTGCTAACCCATTTATTAAATAGTATTAAAGCTTAATTTTGGTTTTATTTTAAATTTTTAAAAACTCTATGCTGAAATATTTTCTTATTGCGATCCAAAAGATTGTCTTTCGTGTCTACTAGATACAAATACTTCATTTTAGAGACCACTGATCTAAAAAATGAGTATATGTTTTCCCCAAATCAGGAAAATCTAGGTATAAATTCCATTACATTTTGTTGAATTATTGAGTAAAAAGGTTAAAATGTCTTTAAGAAAATTATTGCATCTCTGAACTAATCTTGCTGCAGGAATTGAAAGAACCTAGCAGTGTGTCTGATAGTAACCAAAGCATAGAATCTAATTATGTGGCATTTCTGAAGTCAACCTGCTTCCTGATGTACCTTTAACATTGTGGTCAGTCCTAGGACAGATAAAGGAGGCTATTTTGATGGCGCGACTACTGGTCAAGGAACTTCGATGAGTCTAAGAGCTATTCTAAGTATTCTTTGAATTCTTTTTCCTATCCCAGGATATCTGAGTCATTTTTAAAAATCAACTTGCTCTAGAACAAGCTGGACTCAGATCTCCCAGATGGAGAGCAATCCTAGACTGGCCCGGATAAGACCAGCCAAGGCCTGCTCCCAGGAGCAGTCCTTTGGCAAG